TGTTGCTAGTTCAGAGAGTCCAGGTGGTTGAGTATCAGATTGTTCCATCTCGTTTCCCTTTGGGGTTGCTGTAGGTGATCCAGAAGTCTGTTTTTGAGGCTTGTTTATGTGTCTTCTCATTTCCATGGTGCCGTGGGGGGGGGTTGCTTCTGGCGCCCACGCGGCTCACCTTCTCTGCCCTAGGAGCTTGGAATGGCAGCGGGGGAGCTTCCTTCCGGGTGCTGGGACCGGCTCAGCTTCTCTGCCCTAGGAGCTTGGGATGGTGGTGGGGGATTTTCTTTCCTTTTTTGATAAGGTTGGGTAAGGGTTTGTCCAATTTATTTAATCTTTCAAAGGACTAACTCTGATTCATTGATTCTTTGTATTGTTTTCTTAGTCTCCATTGCATAAATTTCTGCTCTGAATTTTATAATTTCCTCCGTTGTACGAGCTTTGGGCTTGAGTCACTCTTCTTTTTCTGGAGGCTTGGGTTTCAACATTAGGTTGTTCATTTGAGCCGACTCTGTTTTCCTGACATGAGAAGTTTCTGCCTATTTGGCCTAGCTGCCGGTTCTTTGGCACTGGCCCATAAATTTTTTTTTAAAGCCCCTTAGGCAATCTCAGTCTTGGTATACCAGGAGCAACAACTGATGAACGCAATTATGTCACCTTGGCTAAAGTAGTACAGTCAACAATAACAGTAGCATCAAATACAGGCTAGAAAATGACGAATTTTAGCCCTTAATTTGCCATTTTTACCCTTAGGGGAGAAGATTTAAAAGGGTTAGGGGGTAAAAAACATAAATAGAAGAAGAAGAGATCAGAAGCAAGGCTGGAGAATAAAATTTAGGAAACTGGTGAAGAGAACAGGTGGGAAAGAGAAAAGGAAAAAATAAAAACAAGGACAGAATAGAACAACAATAAAAAATTAGAAACTGTGTTCAGACAATCAAGAAAAAACTAGAACAAAGCAAGAACTAGAAAGGAGGAAAAAAAAGGAAAAAGAAAAGGAAAAAGAAAAAAGATTAAAAAATCCTAAAATGTCCAATTCAAGGTGTGTGTCTGCTGTCACTGTTAGGCATTGTGGGTAAACAGAGCCCAGAGACAAATTGATTAATTCCGGTAAACTAGCTGTAGCTTCACAGTGGGGTAGTAGATAATCCCAGCCAGTGTGCCCCTTTAGTTCCTCTGTAGTTCAGGCTAATTTCTGGCTATGAGGATGGAACCAGATTCCTTGAGCCTAAAACAGCCTGTGTGTCTCTTGCCAGCTTGAACTCCACTCCCTGACCTCCTAGTGACTTGAACTCAGTACCTGCACTAAGGCACTTGAGCCATTAGATGGAGTTGGCCTGCAGCTATTCTGAATTTTGAGCTCAGTTATCCCCTCTCCAAGATGGCTACTGGGCAGTCACCCTCTCCTGGGTGAGGTCTGAACCTGGATAACTCACCAGCTGCTGCAGTCCGGTGTGGCCAATGCTCGGTTCTACTGGTGCATTTCTCTGTGGAGGCCTCTGGTGTCATCAGTAGTGACTGTGCATTTGCAGGTTCGGCCCACCCTTCCCTTGTGGAGAGTCTAGGCTCTGGAAGAGAGCACTCCTTGGTACCTCCCTCCTGTTCATTAAAGTGTCTCTCTTCACTCTTCCTTGATAGACCCCACCATAAATGATACTGTTAGGTCCTTCAAATAAATAAAGATAATTATTAGGTGGAGCATTTCAAAGGCTTCCATCCCAGGAGCCAGGAACAAGGTTATTGCTTTGTTGGGTTGTGAACAAGGGTGGGGTGCCCCATGTATGGAGATAGTGTAATCTGAGTATAGTACGCATGTGTATGCCGTATTTATAGAACCTTGTGGTGACTACAGTATAACATGGTATTTGAGAATATGAATTCTGGAACCAGACTACCAGGATTCTTGCCCCAGCTATCACTCTTGACCTGTATAATTTGTGGCAGCTAGATAATCTGTAACACGTCTTTAAAACAAGGATAATGAAGGCTGGAAGAGGTGAAGGTAGGGCGGGGGAATGGGGAAAAAATAAGAACCAAGATACATTGTGTAAAGGTACAAGATCCCAATGATGAATATAACTGTATTGTATACCTAAGATGTACCAATAAACTTAATAAAAAACAAGGATAATAACAATACTTTATTGGGGGGCTATGAGGATTAAATTATTATATTAATAAAATACTTAGAACATGGCCTGATACATAGTAAATGCTATAGGAGTAGTGAGTTTGTTTATTCATTCCTTATTCATTCACTTAGTGACTCTCTTTTGAGCTTTGTTATGTTAAAGACATATTTGACTCACATCTTCTTAGCCTCAGACCTTATTTCTGGATATATAGTGATTTATTTAGAGGGCTTCTGCCCTTTTAATAGTAACAGGTCCAAAAACAATTAAATACTTTTATTCAAATTATTTCTACTAAAGGTACTAACTGTCCAACCCATTTATTTGTTTAGAGATTTAGTCTCTGGTTGTTGCAGAGATGGGCTTAACAGAGAATAAATTTTGTTGAACTAGAAAGTTAATTTTAGTTTTCTTATATATTTACAGGTCTGTGTATGATGACCAGCCAAATGCACACAAGAAGTTTATGGAAAAGTTAGATGCTTGTATCCGTAATCACGACAAGGAAATTGAAAAGATGTGTAATTTTCATCATCAGGGTTTTGTAGATGCAATTACAGAACTCCTTAAAGTAAGGACAGATGCAGAAAAACTGAAGGTAGGAAATATTTTAAAATTCAATTTGCTTTTGTTCTCATTAAATTGCTCAACCATTATAGTACACATATATAAGTCATTATTAAATTGCTTTCAAGAAGTGAATTAGTATATGTATTTGGGAATGATCTCTATTCTCTATTAACACAGTTGTCATGCTAATGATAGGAGTAATCTTTATTTCTAAAGCAAGTAATGTGTTGACTTAATAAGATTTCTTTCCATGTAGTGAACTCCAAACATATATACAAATGAAAGATGCAATTTACAGTTTTAGAATTTTTAAATGGCAGTATGATGTTGATAAAAAGCAATCATTCAAAATCATTTAAAAACTTACAATAAGTAATTGTTCTCAAAGTCAATTATATTGAAATTTTAAAGTTTAATAGGAATGCATAATTTTAAAGTTGATCTATATTTTCTGCAGAACAGTAAAAACATTCTTTATTAAATGAGTTGTGGATTTTGTTGTCAAAATAGAAAATATTTAGTTATAAGAATTGTCTTATTTAATCTTTTTTTCGTATTTAGAGTGCTTAGCAGACAGAATTCAAAGGTTATGATTAGAAAACTATTATGTAAAGGATATTCAGATAATAAGAGACCAAATACAGCATCAATGAGGTCACTGAACATCTTTGTTCAGGAATTAATGAGATTTTTAATAAACCAGAATGTGCTTCCTTACTGTGATGACCTAATGAATCACTTAATATGTGGGAAAATTTGAGGTTGAACTTTGCCTGCACCTGCAGCATTAAAATGTAGCTGTGGATTGAGAGTTCCACGTTTGATGTTAATCAACCACCCAGTGTTTGCATTCAGCAAAGTATGAATGTTTAATTACCATAAAATGCAATCACCATTTCCTTCAGACAATGAATGGTACATAGACCTTGTTGAAGTTATCAAAAAGGGACCAGTGGTCAATTGGGTCAGTGATTTGATTGTTTGACAGACTCAGAGAAGCAAGTAAAGTTCAAAAATCCTGAGTAAATTTGAGAAGTTTGCCACAGAATCTGTTAAAAAGAACTGTCATAAGTAATTGAAGTTAACAAAAGCCCTTTTCAATCAAAAGTTCAAGTTCAAGCTGTAGAGTTAATTTGAATTTGCATTTCTTTGTTCTAAGTTTCTCATGAAGCATGATCTGATTACAAGGGTGAGCAGTTACATCAGGTCAGTTTTATGCATATTTGTCTAACTAAAGTGAAATTATTTTTAAGGTGCAAGTTACTGATACGAACCGAAGATTTCAGGATTCTGGGAAAGAGGTAAGAAAATGATACAATTTTTGGTGGAATCAGTATGCGGAAACTGTTTAGCTGTTTGTTTAAAAATCTGCATTTCTTCTTTTCTAAGATGATAGTACAAACAGAAGATATTATTCGGTGTAGAATTCAGCAAAGGAATATTACAACTGTAGTAGAAAAATTGCAGTTATGTCTTCCAGGTAAGTTAAATTTGTCTATAATGTACATAATGTATGGTTTGATAAAATTATAATATAATAGCACTTAGTCATTCCTTATCATGGGAATTATGGATTATTTGGTGATTACTACCTAACAAAGTCCATCATTACTTTTCCTGTTCATTCTATTCCCTGAATTTCCATGATTTTATTTTATAAAACCTTTGTTTGGGTATCTATTATATCAGTCTTGTAGGAAAACTTCTACCTTTCCATTTCTTCTCTGCTTAGTTTGCCATATGAGCCCTCCTGCCCCTTTTACCCTTCTCTCTTTTTTACCTTAGAGAATGTCTTTTGATTAAGTTTTCTTGCCTTTACCATTTGCCTAATTTTTTACTTCTAGTTTTCCATTGTTTTTTGTTTATTTGTTTGTCTATCACTTAATAGGTTGGTTTTAGCCAGGGATTTAGCTTAGTGGTTCCAGCGCCTGCCTCACAAGCACAAGGTCCCAAGTTCGCTTCCTGGTACCAAAAAAAAAAATAGGTTGGTTTTGCTTTGCTCACAATCTCATTTTGCTGCTAAGGTAAGAAAATATCAAAAGTGCTCAGTCTTCTTCCTTCTTGCCTTTCCTCCTGTATTTTGGAAAGACGTAGTTTCTGGTGTCCTAGTCTCTCTATTATGGCTTAGATGTACTGAAGAAACTAACCAGTGTTTCTTTATCTGGACTTAATATACTTTATGTTGGACATATTCTATTCAAACAAAATGAAGCAGGCATATGTCATTTTAAAAAACTATTGTAAGCTAAATCTATCTCAGTGTTCTGTCTTGTTTTTCTTTTTTAGGAAGGAATCTAAATCTCCATATTCAGGAGACTAGAATATTTTGTATAACAATGATATGATACAAATTTAGCTCAGAATACAAATTACATTGTTAAAACTGTCAGCAGATTTTATTGGCTAAAACATTATATTAGAATTTATTATATTAGATAACTATATTATATAATATGCTATATATCACATTATTTATAATTATATTATGTATTATTATTGTTATTTTCTCACTTATAAGAATAGCTTTCTTTTTTTAAGAATTAATGAAAGTCTGCTCAGTTTAATCTATGATGGACCAAGGATTTTTGCACAGTAACTTTGAGTAAATATTTATTTTGAGCCTATTTATTTTATTAGGCTTCAGGGTTGAGGAACCTACTTTCTTAAAGATGTTTAGTAATCTCTCTCTTTTTTTAGTACTGGGGATCAAACTCATATCTCTTTGTCCTTATCAGATTGTAATACACATCAAGACAGTTTCTGAATTTGAGTGCTTTGTCTCTTTTATTTTAGATTGTTTCACCTCATTGCCCCCTGGGTTTGGCTTTGGTGGGCCGATAATCTGACGTTGCATCTTATTTGAATGTCTTCTCATTTTTTTTTTCTGTTTTTTTTGTTGTTGTTGTTGTTGCTTTTTGTTTGTTTAATTCTTGGGTTAATGCTTGTAAATTGTCAATGGTGAGTAAGTAGCTTTATTGCCAGTATTCAAAACCTTAAGGAAATGACTACTCAGAGGCATCTTCCAGGTGTAGGTGGCTTTTGGGTTTTGAGTCTGTTGCAAGATCCTACCTCTTCAATCTATTAGGTATAAGAAGTTGCTGCCTACTTGGCCTACCTCCTGGTTCTTTGACACTGGCCTACAGGATTATTTAAGACCCTTAGGCAATCTCAGTCTTGGTGTACCAGAAAGAACCACTTATTAGTACAATTATGACACCTTGGCTAAAGTAGTACATCAGCAATAACAGTAGTATCAAACACAGCCTAGAAAATGACAAACTATGGTAACTATTAATTTGCCTCCTTTAACCATATGAACTAGATTTGTGGTTATATAAGAAAAATCTAAACAGAATCAGAAAATTGTATGCAGTAAATAAGCCCTCGATATGGCTATTTTACCCTTAGGGGAGAAGATTTAAAAGGGGTTGGGAGAAAAATAGACAAATAGAAGAAGAGGAAGACATTAGAAGGAAGGCTGGAGGACAAAGGAAGATCACTCAAACTTTGAGTTTGAATGGTACAGAAGACAGGAGGTAAAGAGAGGAGGAAGAAATAGAAACAAGAACTAAACAGAACAACAACAACAACAACAAAACTAGAAAGTGTTCTCACTCATTTAAAAACAACAAACAAGAAAAAACAAAATGAGAACAAAAACCAGAAAAGAGAAAAAAAAGAAGAAAAGAAAAACAATGTCCACTTTAAGGTGTGTCTCTGTTATCACTGGTAGATAATGTGGTCAGACAGAGTCCAGATCCTAGTTGATTAATCCTAGCAAGCCAGCCATAACTTTATGGCAGGGTAGTGGATAATCCCAGCAAGTCTACACCCTTAGTTCCTCTGAAGTTCAGGCTGGTTTCTGGCTGTGAGGCTGGAAGTGGATTTGTTGAGCCTGCAAAAGTCTGTGTGCCTTCTGCTGGCTTGAACTTGGCTCCCTGACCTCCTGCCAATTTGAACTTTGCACCCTTACTGTGACACTGGGTGCCGTTAGATGGAGCCAGCCCACAGCTATTCTGAGTTCCAAGCTCAGTTGGCCCCTCTACAAGATGGCTACCAGCCAATTGGCCTCTCCTGGGGGACATCTGAACCTGAATAACTCACCAGCCACTGCAGTCTGCTGTGTCCACTGCTCCATTCCACTGGTGCATTTCTCTGTGGAGGTCTCTGGAGTCACTGAGCCACCCTTCCCAAGCCGTGAGTTAGGGCTCAGGGAGAAATCACCGCCTGCCACCTCCCTCTTGTTTGTTGAAGTCTCTCTTTGCTCTCTCTGGGGGCTTAAATTCTCACTTCAGATCCTTCCTGAGCCTCAAGGACCCACTTCCTTCCTTTTCCTCTTCATGCCACTATATGCCAGTGTCAGGACACCAAATCTCGGAGTCATTCTCTGCTGTTGACCACTCCACTGAATTCCAGGAAGACCCTTTATTAATTTAGACCATAAGCCTAAAAGTTAGGTATTAATAGCATGATTAAGGGCTGAATTTAGCTTATTCCCCCAGGTAGCTATTTGAAATAGAGAAATAAAGGGAAGTAGAAGTTAAATTTCTGTATTGGTACTGCTTTTGCTTTCATGTCTGGACAGCAGTTCTCAGTTCATATAAATATTATGTTACTAATAGCCATGTCCAGAACTACCTCTTTACTTTATCCATCAATCTACTCATAGTTATCTACTCATAGTTTTTGTGTGTGTCAGGAATTATGGTAGGTATTAGAACTATAAATTTGAAAATGACATAGTCCCAGCTTTTGAAGGATTCTACAGTGTAATGTGAATAAGGACAAGTCATTCATTATTGTACAATTGCCTAATTCCTCATTGGGTTCAGAGGAGTATGAGAGTACATAAGAATAAACATAATAAACTGCACTTTTCTGGTGCATTAGTTTTACTTAAATGTTTTGAGTAAAGCGTAATTTTTATATGGAAATAATGAAGTAGATGTAAAATTTACATGAATAACTGAGATAAAGCCGGGGACTTCAAAAAAAATTTATGCTTGTAACAGCAGAATATGTTCTGTATTATGTGTTTACTGTAATGCTTTGGTTGGAAAATGTGAGAAATATTACTTTACAGTGTAGGGCTGTGGTAGAGATGTGGAGAGGGCCCTATGAGGTCACAGAGTAAGAGGTGGCTCACTGTTGCCACCATTGCACATTTGAAAGTTTTCAGACAAGTAAACAGTATTATTTATAATCTTGGGAGACCCTTGGGAGTAGCTTATGACTATAGAAAACCTGGAAAAAATGTTGTCTATCTCTCTAGTCTAAAAAAGATGAGTTAGTTTGATGAGCCAATAATTTACTCATTTTGTGTGTGGGGGGCCGGGTTGAGATGGTCTTGCTGTGTAGTTCAAGCTGGCCTTGAATTTACTATGTAGCCCATGCTGGCCTTGAATTTGCAGTGATCCTCCTGCCTCAGCCTCCCAAGTGCTGGGATGACAGGCATGTGCCACCACACCTGGTTGCTCACTCACTTTATACTTTGAATTCTTCTAAAGTTAATTAGTAATCTACATAGTTGCAATAAATCCTTTTGGTGACAGTACATCATTTTGCTGAAACTTATGACAATTTTATTGAATAACTGCATTTCTGGGCCTTTGTACAAAGTATGAAATGAATAAATATGCTTTGCTATGTTTATTTTTATTGTATTTTAAAAAATAATATTTTTATTATATTTTACTATATAATTTATTCTGTGCTGTAAGCATTTGTTTTTCCTTCTTTATAAATTTGGTATAAATTTTTGTGTATAGTTAATTATAATACAGTTGTGTTATTTTATTTGGTATATTGGGCCAAATTTAATGAATCTCACTGTCACTCAGTTTTCTCCCTTGGCTAAAGTCTAAATTTATAATTCCATTTCAAGGAAGATGTATAGTAATTTCTAAATAGAAAAATTGTTTCTAGATTAATGTCCCAGTTACAGGTGTCAACATACAGAAGTGTTCCAGGTTCAATATATGTATAATGGTCAATGTATATGGAAATTAAAATATTTTCATTTACTTGAATCATATATTTTATTTCAAAATATCAGCCTAATTCAAAGTATAGAGAAGACTGATGAATTTTGTAGTATATTTTTGCCTGCTTTAGTTATTTTAATTTCTCAAAATTCTTTATTTCATCTTAAAAGCTAAAATGTTATATATTTTTTTAATGCAGTCCTGGAAATGTACAGTAAACTAAAAGAACAGATGAGTGCAAAAAGGTGAGTTGGTTTCTTTCCTATTGTTATTTAAATAAGAATTGTATTCTGTTACTGAGAGCACAGAGAAACTTACTGTAAATTAATGAAATCATATAAATTTTGCTTTCTGCTTACACTAAATTAGGATCATCCAGTAAAGCAAAATTTCCATTTATTTATGAGTGCTTGTCCTTTATAAATAATGTCAAAGATTGGTAATATTGATAAAGAATAGGTAGACAACTAAACAAGGATGAAAAATTTTTTTTATTAACTTACTAACATATGACACTACATACAGTCAAGGGCTAACTGCTTAATGTGGAGTGAAAACAGTGTAGGCAGTCATATTTTGACATTTGGGCTATTGTAGTTCATATTCTGTTTTATAACACAAATGAATATCTGACAAATGAGAAATGATTTAAAGTAGTTTATTGGTTGCCATAACAGCATTAGATACCATAATGTTTAAAATACTAAAATGAACAATTATAAAGTAATATAGAAGAGCAAGAATGAATAAGTTTGGGAAAGAACAAATTCTTCTTGGTGTATTAACTACTAAAAGCCCACGATGCCTTATATACAAATCTGTAGTCAAAGATTTGTGTGCGTCCTGCTCTGTAGTGCTAGATATTGAATTTGATTGATCTTGACCAATTGGTGCTTATTAATAGAATGACTTTTGTATTACTAGTAAGCCAGAAGACAGTCTTGTTTTCTTTTATGCATATACTATTAAGATACTCTCTTTTTTCTGTTATTATATAGTATCATATTTTAAAGATTAGTTTTATGTGTTTATTGAGAAAAACAGGCTTCACCTTCCCTATTTTGCATTCAACATTCTTCATAGAGCAAAAAATGTTTACCTCTTTTTTTTTTTTTTTTTTGTACCGGGAATCTAACTTGGGACCTTGCGCTTGCAAGGCAGGCGGCAGAACCACTGAGCTAAGTCCCCAGCCCTTGTTTATCTCTTTTAATGATTATTTTGGTATTTACATTTATGACTTCAGTAACTTCTAGTATTGCCTTAGTATTTTCTGGCTTGGGTAATTATCTTTTTTTCAACAATATAACCTAATATTTATATTCAAGTTTCCCCAGTTATCTCCCAATTGTCTTATATCTTCATTTCCTCCCTGAAAACATTGATTGGTATGTACTTTTTATTATTTTTAATTTAGAACAGCCCTCCTCTGTTTGCTTTTCATGAAAAAGTCCAAGTTGGTTCCTACAGGCCCAGGTGTATTTTAGATTTGTCTAATTGTTTCCTCATGATTGGATTTAGGTTAAATTTTTTTGGAAAGAGTATGAAGTAAACAGTATTATGTGCCTCTCATTGTATTACATTAAAAAGCATTTACTTTCAGGTTGTCCCTAGAGTATGCTAAATTTGATCATTTAATTAAGGGATTGACTGTTAGATCTCTTTCGAAAAGGTATATTTTTCTCTTTGCCATTACTGAATAATCGGTGGAGTGATACTTTGAGTCCTCTTTCCTAATAATGTTTCATCCAGTAGTTTTAGGATTCTTGGTTTAATCAGTTGTTATATTGGAATTAGAAAACAGTGGCTTTAAAAAATGGTATCATTTCTTTAGCATTTAGCTTTTTTTAAATATAAAGAATGTCTTTCTACTTTTACTTTTGCTTTTTTTTTTTTTTTTGAGACAGATTCTTGCTATGTAGTTTGGGGTGGCTTTGAACTCACTATATAACCCAGGTTGGCCTCCATCTCATGGAGATCCTTCTGTCCCAGCCTCCTGAATGCCAAGATTACAAGTGTGCGCTACAACACCTGGCGAGATCTTTCTTTTTTAAACCCCCTTTTGCTTTATTTCTTTTTCCCCCCCTGATTATTACTGTGAACTCATAGATTTTAAAAAAATAAATATGTAATAATTTATTATTTGATACATAGATTGTTCCAAATTTGTCTGGAGAAATCCCTCAAGCAAGTTTTGTGACTTCATTTGTCCTTGTGTATTTTATTGCTTATTGTACAGTAAGATTTTCCAAGCTCATTGTACTTTTCTTGCCCTTTGTCTCTCTCTCTCTGTCTCTGTCTCTTTCTGTGTCTCTCTGTCTCTCCTCTGTCTCTCTTTCCCTCTCCCTGTATTTTTCATGTCCTTTATCTTCCAGGGTTGCCATTGGGAAGTTTGAAGTCTAAAGTCATTTGAATTTCTTACCTTTCATTTGTGAGCTACCTTGTCTTTCTTTAAAATCTTCTCTTTGTCTTCTGTGGTCTGTAATTTCCCTATTATATGCTTTGGTGTAAGTTTGCTTTTATTTCATTGTGCTGGTTATTTGGGGGAGGGGGTTCAGGTTTCAACCTGGAAACTCTTTTAATCTGAATAATGTCCTTAAATTCTAGGAAATTTTCTTGAATTATTTCTTCTGTTTTCTTGACTCACTCTCTCTAGGACAGGTATAAATGTTCAGTCTAGCTTGATTCTCTAATTTTTTCATTTCTTCGAGCTAAAAAATATCTCTGTCTACCTCAAAGAACTAGGACTGGAAGTCCCATTTGACCCAGCTGTTCCACTGCTGGGTATCTTCCCCACAGAATTAAAAGAATCCTACCACAATGATATATGTGTACCCATGTTTATAGTGGCACAGACTGTAATAGCTAAAGTTTGGAAACAGCCCAAGTGCCCATCAGCTGGAACCTGGATAAAGAAGATGTGGGTTTTTTTATAAAATGGAGTACTACTCAGCCATAAAAAGAATGAGAAACTAGAGACATTTATAGCTAAATGGATGCATATTGAGGCCATACTCTTTGGTTTTTTTTTTGGGGGGGGGGGTTCTGGGGATTGAACTCGGGACCTTGTGCTTGTGAGGCAGGCCCTGGAACCACTGAGCTAAATTCTCACTGAGACCATACTCTAAAGTGAAATAAATAGGACATACATGTGTAAATACCAAATAGTTTCTCTAGTGTGAGAAACTGAAAGTGTAAATAAGGGTTAAAATGATTAAAACAAATAATAGATAATTT